TCCTCACAATATCACTCAAAGACCCTTCCCAGCAGTTTGGTGGTTGGAATATACAAATAAGTCTTGGGCAAAGCCGATAGTCTCCTTCTTCTTCAGTGCCAACTCAGCATCTTCTTTATGAGACAATGATACTTTACTTTTCCCCTTTTTTAAATTTATGGGGTCTTTTTTTTAAAATTTATGTTAACATTTTAACCCGATGAATGCTAGATTCAACATAAGGGATCTATGAGGGCTTGCCAGCCCACCCAGAGAGCTCTCCTGAGCTTTTTTGTTCTCCCTGGTTACCATGGAAATTTCCAAACAGCCCTGCTTTCAGTTGGTGTTTTGGCATTTCGCTGAATGTGGCTCACAAGCCTAGCTGAAACTGGATGTTTTTAATAATGTTTTAAGCCAGAAAAATCTGATTATATATAATTTTTTACAGCTCTATGCAATGGATGCAAAAGAAAGGTAGTCTCTGGTTTTTTTTTTTTCATTTTAAGTCCTTTGCTGCCCTCTAGTGTAGCATTCCAGCGGATAAAGCTCACACAGTAGCTCAGTTACCTGTGCTTAAAATGTCTTTGCTCCCTGCAGAGAACAAGAAGCTTGTCAGCCAGTCTCACCCTTACTCCATTAGACTCATTATTTTGTTCCCCTCCACTGCACAAGAATGAATGGAGATGTGTATCCTGGTTAATTTGAGGAGATATATAGTGCAAGGAAAGCTGCAAGTTAAGGACTGCCTTCTTCACATCTAATTTTTTAGGTTTAGGTGCGCACATAAGATTTTTCTATTTTTTAAAGGGTAAATGCAACAAAGGGGCACTCTGAGTGTGACTTAAACCCACAGCTTCCCTCAAAAGACATCAGTAAGCTGCAATTCCATGTTTATGTTTATTTCAAAAATGAATTCTGTATTTATTGCACTTTGAAACCACCCACCAATTAAGGCACTTGAGATTATGCACAATCTGTTTAAAATGCAAAATCCATCAATAAGCAAGACAGAATAATAAAACTAAGATAAAATTGGCAGCAGAGTATAGAACATTCAGCATATCAAACCAGGTTAAAATCAACAGAAGGCAAGAGTGCAAAGGTATAGAAGCGCTGAATATTTCTTCTCACATGTATTTTTTTTAAAATGCACGTGAGACTAAAACTTCATTTTGTGCTGAAATAACCCTTATGTAGGTGTCAGAAGGGTTTGTTGAATGCATTCTACAGTGTTAAAAGTTTAAGCCAGCACTGTGAATTGGGCTTGGAAATGAATTGTGAAGACATTTCCAAGTGAAGACTTTGCAGCGATAGCTCCAGGTGGTTACCCTGTTGGGGTCCAACTAAAGCTGCTGAACCATTTTCAAAGGAAGTCCTATGGGCAAATAGGGTACTGCCCCACTGCTTCAAGCATCGGGTACCCCAACCTCTCACCTGCCTCTTTAGCCCCTTCTGCTGAGCCCCCAGCATCGGATTTGGTGGGGAAGAGAGGGAGTAAAGAGGGAAGGAGAAAGAAAATGAGAGAATGACTGTTGGTGAACACATAAACTGTCGAGCTAGGAAACCTGGCATGGAGGGACCAGCAGCAGGCAGTAACACTTCTAAATTTGGAACACAGTATATTTTTCTGTTCCCTCTTGAGTTGTGGAATGGATGGATGGGGTGGATGGGGTGGGGTGAGGGAGTGTCTAAGTGGATGCCTGTCTGCTTCCCCTGTGTTGATATGTATGAATGCTTCACTTTTTTATTTGTGCATGCATACGTGCCTTGCTCTGCAAGATTCTCAGTGAGGTGCAGTGGATAGAGTGTGATATCTGCAGGATTCTCAGTGTGATGTACTGGTTAGAGTGATGGACTAGTGAGGATTCAAACCCTAGAGAACAGGGTTTGAATCCCCACTTGGCCATGGAAACACACTGGGGTAGTAGAACTGGTAAAACCATTCCTTATATATCTCACTTAGCTTGAAAGCCCTAATAGGATCATCATAAGTTGGTTTGAACACGATGGTACAGAACACACACACGCGCGCTGCTTACCAGCCCTAGCTGTGACCATCACCCTGCAAATCACAATGGGCATTAGCAGTCATTGGCTCAATATATAACACGTTGTATAACATTGCCACATAACAAAGTGAAGATTAACAGAGCATAAATAGCAGCCACAAGGCTCTCTTTGTTCCTGTAGAGTTGTATTTGCAATAATATCCTAAAATAATTAAAAAAACACATACACACACAACCTTCAATTCACCACGGCCACTCAGGCCTCGACTGACCACAATGTGTCTAAGAACACTCCCCAATCCACAAAGCTGTAAGAGAAATACAATTCCACCCTGAACAGAGTGAACACCACTTAACCTGACTGATGAACTCACAACATGTATCGCTGTCTTGACTGAATAGACCCTCAGTTTATTGGCCAGCATCCAATCCATTACCCACAAGCTCAGAACAAATGCTTAACTGACTCCTTAATGTAATGGTTTCCAAAGCAGCACATAAACAGTGACATATTTAAACTCCAACTGCCAAAGAAACTCAAATAAGCAGGAACAGGTTAATAAAGGTAGCATACAAGGATATCTTGATTTGCAGGGGGGATTAAAATTCTGAACAGCCTTTGAACAGGGTATACATAGCAAGTAGAACAATCAAAGTGACTGAGGTCATAATACCATGTTTATCAAAAATTTTATGCAAAGCAAAAGATCCTAAATGTGAGGTCAAAAATACAACAATGAAGATACCAGGCTGACTTCTGTGTGGAGGGCATTCTAGAACCAAGGCTTCACTCACCACCAAAGTTACCTCTTTGATCATGACCCTACCCCTGTCCACAAGATGGCTCGGCATTCCCAAAATGGCATCGACTGATGAACTCTATCCCCTTCTTCCTGAGCCAGAAGCAATGTGGTGGTGATGGGAGCTTCCACACGCACATCAAGTATACCCTATATCTGTGAAGATTCTCACTCATCCAGGTGAGGTTATCTGGAAGCTGAGTCATGGCAACAGGACTTCTTTCTTATTAGATTGAAACATTTCATTATTCATCCAAGTAGCTGAACAGACTGAAGAAGCTACTTGGATGAGTAGCGAAATGTTTCAACCTAACCCTGACCCAACTTCCAACTGATTAAGTATACCCTGGCTTGCAATCTGTTTTGTTCTACACATTGATGCTAGTTTGGTATCAATGGGGAAGAAAGCACATCCAGCATTGCTGAGAGATCCTCCCATGAAACTGTTGCTAATACACACAGGAGACTGGCAGAGTCTTTAGTCTGGAACTCCAACAGCAAATGATGCCCCATAAAGTGCCAATCCACTGTGCTTGTATGTTATGCACAGAAAGCCACTGTGAGTACTACTACAACACCCAATGTCATTATTGGAACATCCCACTTTTCATAATTTAATCTATATATCTAGGTAGGCAATGAAGTCTCTTTCTCCCCTTTCTCTAGAAACTTGATGTAGCAACCCTGCCCCACCCCATAAATACCATTTATACTTGCAGCAGTTGACCCTAGATGCCCTGACAGCATGGGGGCAGGGTAAAGGTCCATTTGCTTAGTCCTCTAGGTGCACTAAGGAGAACAATGTATGCATCCTGACATAAATATTAAATGCCATCAGCCAATAGAAGCATGGGGAATTGACATTAATACTCAGACTGGAAACTAGTCCTGTTCAGTCTATGCCACTTTCATATGTACAGTGGTGCCTTGCTTAGCGACGTTAATCCGTTCTGGAAAAAAAGGTTGCTAAGCGAAAACATCGCTAAGTGAAATTAAAAAGCCCATAGAAACGCATTAAAACACGATTAATGTGTTCCTATGGGCTTAAAACCTCACCTTTAAGCGAAAATCCTCCATAGCGCCACCATTTTCGCTGCCTCTTAAGCGAGGAAAAACAGCGGGCGGCCATTTTGAAACCGCCAATCAGCTGTTAAAAAAGGGTCGCTTTGCCATGATCGCTTCCCCGCGATCATCGCAATGCGAAAAAACCCCATAGGGACCATCGCAAAGCGATTGCTTTTGCAATTGCAAAAACTCCATTGCTAAGCAATTTCGTCACTCAACGGAGAGATCGCTATGCGAGGCACCACTGTACTCATTCACAAATTTGTTCCATTTATTTTCTTCATTAAAATTCCCCCTTTTAAAAAATCACACACACATGAAAATCTGCATGTAAAAATGTATTTATGCATGTATTTATGCATGTATTTTTGAACCTATTCCCCCCAAAATACATTTTCCTCAACACAGAGTCAAAATCCTACTAGTTTCACCTGACAAAACAAGGTAAATTGGCAAAGCTCTCATTGGTGAATTGCTGCAAATTAAGAAGTTAGCCTAGGCATTTGCTTTTGTGCATCAAGGCACATGATGCTCACAACAGTGAACCTCCAAATTGCCAGAAATTCATCAGTGGTGCATCAAGGCACATGATGCCCACAACAGTGAATGTCTACTATAACCTCCAAATTGCCAGAAATTCATCAGTGAGATTTACACTAGTTGCATTATGCCAGTGAAAAAGCTCAAGAGAATTTCGGCCATTTTATCTCAGAAAAATCTATGTTTCAGAATGCATTTCTAAACAAAATTTGGAGAATTATGAAATCTGAAAGCTAACAACTTTCTGATCTGGATATTAGTCTGGAAAGTGTAAATCAAGTCACTCAAAAATTACATCTCTCAGGCACCCCTACATTACGACACTGTTACAACACAGCATGATCATCTCATCAGGATGCTTACACTTCTGCAACTGATTTTGCTTTGCTCTTAATACTTTGCTGCAATTCCACAATAAACTTGTACAAAGGCATAACAGATCAAGCAATGAGAAATCCACACTTGCATAACAGAGGTTTTGAGCTGGATCTCCTTAGGTAGGTAAGTGCCACTGGTTCAGGCAACCAGACTGTGAAATTTCCGTGGTATTATATAGAGGTGGGAAACAGAAGGCAGCAGAAACCAACAGAGATAATGTGTACATTACCATGAAAAACACTGTTGTCCACCAAAAAATGCCTGCAGTACTGCATACACCTTCTCTTATCCAAGTTCCAGTAACTCATTGTTAGAGGCCTTTCTTCCCACCATCAAAGGCAATTATCCTGCAAAAATTAAGAAGACAAGCATTGGTAGCATGAATGGAGCAGTTAAGCAGAAAAGAAGAGCAATTCGGTGGCATTCGTTCTACTTAAGAAAATGTCTTGAGACAACCTCTGCACCACCACCATTATCACCCCTAAATGTTACGCTTTACTCAAAATGCAACAATACTGTCAAGAAGCTCAGCACATGTAGTAGCAATAATTAAGTCATCATTAAACTACCAAGTGTTGCCTTCACACAATTACAGCTCTTTTAGAGGGAGAGGGGATGTTTGCACATAATGTAAAGAATCGCTTAGCTGATGAATGGAAAGAAACACATACTTTTCCTCCAGACCTGGAAACATTTCTTTCTAAGCTCTCAGAATTGCTTTCTCCCCTGGGCAGTATAACTGCTGTCTAGATTGACTTGGGATTCTGGACATTGTATTTCAGAAATATATCCCCAAGCTCTGCCTGTTTTGGACTTCTCGGGAGGGGAGGGAGTTGTATGGGAATTAGAGAACAAGAGGGAAAATGGACAGAGGAAAGAGGAAAGAAGGAATACATTTTCATGCCTCAGACATCCCTTGTTACTATGCATACCTGGTAAGAGTCCCTTTTCCTGATTAGCTCACCTCCAGGCAGAGTTCAGCAAGAACAAACTCTACTTCCTCATCTAAGCTTTCGTTCTGCATGCCTTCTTCAACAAAATAAAGACTCTCAAGTCATTATGTGGAGATGGGATGAAACACGGCAGCAAGGCAGAACACCTCAGAAATACAACGCATACCAAAATATAGGATCATAAAACGAGCACTATAAACACTGCAGGATCTGGTGTTTAGTGAGTTAATGATGATAAGTGAAAAGATGAAGATGCATGATAAGGAAAGTCACAAGCAAGGCCAATAGAGAAAAATATCCACAGAAGACTATGGATTCTGGTGGTGCCAACACTAGACCAGCTTTAAAAAAATCCTTACAACACAATCAGTTATTCAGAATCCACCACAGTTTCTACCATTTGTCCATTGTTTTGTAGCTTCAAACAGTGCAAGCAATTGTAACTATCATTTTCAGGGACAAACATATAACTCATTAAGAAGCTGATCCTTAGGTTTCTCTCTACAAGGCCTCCTTTGTTTACATCCCTTCATTCAATTCATTTCTGAAGACTTTTTAGCCTTTCCAATGATGCCTTGCAAAATTCATTTCATTGTAAGCAGCGCCTAGTATGGCGGATGTTTCAGGACTCAGATTTCCCAAAGACATACAAAAAGGGAACTTAAATATCCACCCTAATTCCTTCAAAATTAATCTGATCTGCAGAAGACTAAGTATGTACAATATTTCTCTAAAATATAGCCAGTTCATAAAAGACTAACAATCTACCAAAGTCTAGAAATTAAAGTGCCACAAGTCACATTGTTACCTGTACTACATTACTTTTTCAATAACAAGGGCATAATGGGATTATTTTTGCAGAAGTAATAAGAGTTTATTATATGGGGGTGTTGTAACATAATTTTACTTCTAAAGTGTTACTATGGGGGCAGTCATTTGTGAATGTTAAGCATTCTCTAACAAACTTTATTTTTAAAAAAGCAACAAAAAACAAATACCTTGATAGTTTGTCACTAACTCAGTACCTACAATGTAACAACTAATTAGTCACTATTTTAAAAATGGCTAATGCTAATATAATCCCTATGAACTAATTGGTCAGTGGGCGGGAGGTGTGTGAAACCTTAGAAAGAGGTGTGCTTCTACATTTCCACTCAGAGAGGGAGTGAGTTGGAAAGGGCAGGAGCTGGTATTTCCCTGGAAGATGATATGGGCTGTTCTCACCTTCATTTAGATAATGGATTTTCAATATGTTTGTGCAGGAGGAGCAATAGAATGATGAATTGTGTATTTGTACCTGAATTTGTATTTTAATTTAAGATCTCAAAATCTGTACAGCCAGCACTGTATTCAATTCATTTTTTCTGCTCCACATTGTGTGCCTTTGACAGGTACACCATTCTGTAATGGCTGTTCCCTTTGGCATTAGGAAAGTGCATATTAGAGATGGGCGCGAACTAATTCAGCCCGAATCAGAAGTGCTGTGCATTTCTTCTCCCCACCCCCAGCCAGATGCCCCACTCACAAGCCTCTATGCACCGGCCAAGTCCTCTTCCTGGGCAGCTGTTCACTCTGGACAAAGGAAGGCATCCAGCTGGGGTAGTTGGTGAGAGGATGGACAAGGGAAACACACGGCACCTGTGATGCTACACAAACTAATTTTGCATCTCTTATGACACTATAAAGGTACGTCCCTAGATCTCAGGTTTGGGCCATGGCATCTCAGGAAATGGGATGCTGCCGACTTGACAACCCACGCTGTGCGTCTTGCATGTCTCAGAAAGGCATCCTTATCAGCTGTGTCAGGAGATACCAGGGATAGAACCCAGGCCACTTTGCATGTAAGCCATGCATTGTGTGCTTCTGTCTTATAGCCCAGTGATCCCTAACCTTGGGCCTCCAGATGTTCTTGGACTTCAACTCCCAGAAACCCTGGCCAGCAGAGATGGTGATGAATGCTTCTGGGAGATGTAGCCTAAGAACATCTGGAGGCCCAAGGTTGGAGATCACTGTTATAGCCCATCCCTTTCTAGGACAAAGGTTTAAAGGCAATGAGTGGCAAGAATTTCAAACAAAGCAAACCGAGGGGAAATGAGCACCAGGAATTAAATAAATGAAACTATTGCATAAATAATTTCCTATGTAATGTAGTGGATAGACTGACAAACTAGGACTGTGGAGAACAGGGCTAGAATCCCTGTTCTGCCATGGAAGCTCACTGGGGGAACTGGTAAAACCATTCATTAAATATCTCACTTACCTTGAAAACCCTGTTAGGGTTGGTTTTGACTTGACAGCACCAAACACACACATATTGCATAAATGAACTGTTCCTTACTGTTCACAGTCATAAAATAGTAGAAATATTATCATGAAAAGAGAGTAAAACAAGCAACCAACTGGAATATCATTAGAGTCTTAGGAACATATCCCTTGTTTTAAAATTAGGTTAACAGAAGTAGGAAGAAGCTAGATTATGAGCAAGGCTCAAGTTTCAAGTTCAAGCCTCAATGTCAAGCAAAGTGCAAGTGGAGTTAGGAGAGAGAGAAAAAAATGGGTTGGTACTGAAGCCTTAAAATCTGCAGGTCACAGGCTTATAGATGGTCTGTAAAAATAGGTTGTGGCCTTATTCAGATTAGGCTGTCTTGGCTGCAATGCAGGTTACACATACAGTAGTTTCTATGGACGGAAAAGAGAAAATAGGTTGTGGGCTTATTCAGATTAGGCTCTCCTGGCTGCAATGCAGGTTACTCATAGAAGGAGAAATATGCAATAGCCAGTTGGTGTGAAATTGGGTCTCCTGCTTTCAGCAAAACACACAGGTTCCCTATTAGGTAGAGCACTGGTTCTTAACCTTGGGTTACTCAGGAGGTTTGGACTGCGACTCCCAGAAGCGAAATATGCAATGGCCAGTTAGTGTGAAATTGGGTCTCCTGCTTTCAGCAAAACACACAGATTCCCTATTAGGTAGAGAACACAAGCAAATGAAAATATAGCAGTTTTTTTTATTACACAAAAGACGGACTTCTTGGCCAGTTTTATGTGACCAAAAGGAGAGGATGAAAGGTAAACATATCAGTATTAGCTGAAGCAGCACATTAAAGACATTTACTATCCAAAAAAGAGTCCTATCTTCAGTTCTGCACAAACATCTTACACAATCATGACTTACAGCTTGAAGTCTCAAAAATGTTTTTTCCCTGTATCAAGACAAAACACACACACACACACACACACACACACACACACACACACACACACACACACACACACACACACAACCGTTTGAGCAGGTTTCATCCATAACCCCTTGCTGTCAATCTGAGTTTCACAGGCCACAGAGTGCTGTGAATGCTATCAATCAAAGTTAACAATATAAGATGCAAAAGAGGCAGTCTTGTTGCAGCCTGATGATTAATCCATCAATTAACTGCAACTATCCCATGCAGCCTCAGAGTACAACAAGTGACTGTCTCAAATGTGGAAGTCCTCTTCAAGAAAGGCTATCTACCTCCTGGGATTCACGGGGCTCCCTCGCTGGGTATCTTTAAGAATCAATTAAAGACATGGATGTTTCGGCAGGCCTTTCCACCAGACAATTCCTGATGTTCCTCTTCTTTTCCTCTCCATTGGGTTTCTATCTTTGTAAGGTTTTTATTATTTATGCTGCTTTATATATGTATACTTCGATTAATCCATCAACTAACTGCAACTATCCCATGCAGCCCTCAGAGTACAACAAGTGACTGGCTCAAACGTGGAAGTCCTCTTCAAGAAAGGCTATCCCAGGATGACTTCATAGAGACAAAGACCTCAGCAAAAATGCAAGTTTGTGCCACATACACACATCTGTGCATAAGTTAAGAAGCCTATCTATGAGACTACATGATCGCTCATCCGCTCCTTTTAAAACAAAAGAAAACAACTAACTAGTACGTACTGGCTTGGATCTAGATTTGGAGCAGATTCACTGCAATCAAGGGAACTAGGCTGACTTCATAGAGACAAAGGCCTCAGCAAAAATGCAGGTTTGTGCCACATACACACATCTGTGCATAAGTTAAGAAGCCTATCTATGAGAATACATGATCGCTCATCCGCTCCTTTTAAAACAAAAGAAAACAACTAACTAGTACGTACTGGCTTGGATCTAGATTTGGAGCAGATTCACTGCAATCAAGGGAACTTGGTCAGAGCTAGCATAAGTCCACTTGTTTTAAATAGATCTGCACAGCCATTGGCTAGATCTAGTAGATCTTACTGGCATACAATTGTATCTAGAAATGGTCATGCAAATGCACAGGAAAAAAAATAGTGTTTATTATTCTTGAACTGCTGAAAGAGCACTTCTGCATAGTTTTAGTACTTTAGTAGTCATGCTCATGATCTGCATG